ACAATAATGTCATGATATTTAAATGGGTCCCTAATTTTCTGATCAATTTTTTTTTCAATTCCGCCCTTGGGAACAAATAGACAATTTGCTCCTGCAGGACGATAAGTATATGCAGTCAAAACCAATTATAATCATGTGACTTATACAAAGGATATGGTTTCCTCGGTTTTGTGTATTGGCAAATGTATTGTTTGCCACGGCACATGCTTCCCTCAATATTGTTGTTTAGAAATGACAGTTGAACGGTTGGACAAATTGTTGGATTGTGTGTACATCTCGCTAAAGCACATGCCTAACCCAAATATGTTATATTTATGTTTTTTTTTTAATCTTTCAAAAAGGGAAGGCATTCTACAAGTGTTTAAAAAATTAGCCCTAGAGTTGGCCACCACCCCATGTTCCGAGTCAAACTAGCCAAATTGGCAAGTCATCTTAGATGATTTCACCAATTGTTTTTTGAGAAAAACATATAAATGAACCCTAAAAACTTTAAACCATATTAGGTACCTCAAATCATTCTAAAAGTAATTTCTCTTGTTTTTTTTTTTTGGTAGTTCAATGGGGATGGGATCTTCTACTTGCGGTAGAAATAGAACTAACGTTATGTTGTCCTTAAGCCCATTCTTATGAAAGAAATATGGTTTGTACATTGAAATTTTTTAATATAATTTTTGGGTGAATAGGGCTAAGTCCCAGTTTCGGGAGGCTCACGGGCCAGTCGCCTAAGTGTTCCTGGTTGAACCAAGAAAAATGGCCTGTCTTGTCTGATTTTAAAACCCTAAATTGCACAATGAATGTAGTTTATAACCAGTAAACAACACACCGTATTTGGGCTAGTCGAGTTCACTATGGCCCATAAGGTATTCGTGCCTATCCTAAGTCGTATTTGGGCTGGGTACCCCTCTTCTTATTTTTTTTTTTTTTCCTGTTTTCACCAAAAAAAACCAAGGGAAATGGTTTTTTTTTGCAAATTTTAATCCATTTTCCAGCCCCATTTTGCTTGATTTGGACACAAATTAATTCATCTTAGACTAACAAACTGGCTTTTGGTAAAATAATGTATTCCCAACTCCCCCAACTCTCCGAACCAAATCATCCTACAGTTGATTCGAAATGTTGGTATTAGAGCCCTCTAAAAGAGCAACTTATTGGATCGAAATTTCAAATACAAGGACATGGATTCTATGCGGTCAGCCCGCATATTGTAGAAATGCGGGTTTGACAAAAAATATATATTTTAAATATAATTTGTTCTTAATTTTTAGAGAATATATAGTATTTAACATAGAGATCATAAATAAGAAAATAAAATAAAATAAATAATAGCTATATTAAGAAAACATTTGGACCGTTAGCTACAATTGTTTTTAGATGGACCACCTATTTACATCCATCTTTAAGATGGATGCTTTATACCTTTGGACCGCATATTGTAGAAGGGAAAGCTTTCTATGTTCCCCCTACAATATAGAAGTTCTATGTTCTCCCTTATCCAACCGTCTATTTCTGAATGGAGGGCTAAGATTGCCCCAATTACATTGTCACATCTCTACACTGTTTTATTTTTAATTTTTTTCTATAAACTGTTTTGACACCAAATTTTGGACATCCATTCCTATATTAAACGCGCACTAAAAAAAATATAAAAAACATATTTTTAATAAATAAAATGACCAAAATACCCCTAAAAGTTTCAAGGGGTATTTTGGTCATTATTTTTAATCTAAAAATTATTGTTAATATTTTTTATAGGTGCGTACCAATGAGAAGATGACACGTACCAAATTTCATATTAAAAAAAATTGTATTAAAAAAACTAAAAATAAAATACTTTGAGATGTCGGATCTAAGATAAAACGGTGAGTAACTCCCTTGATAAAAAATAGACGGCTGGATGATAGGGGGAACATAGAACTTCTATATTGTAACGGAACATAAAAAGCTTTCCCATTGTAGAAATGCGGTCCTATATGAAACAATTTTCCATACAAAAACCAGAGTTAAATTTTTGTACCCAAAATTAAAGACCTCTGAATTCTCTCTCGTTTTCTAATCAAATGTGCTCGAATTTGTCCTAAAATGTTTCTATCAAATGGATATACAAAAGCCCTAGCATTTTTTAATCAAAACAAGATATCTCCAATTTCGAGATTTTTTCCTTTTTTTTTTTTTCCATCTTTTAGAAAAAAATTGGTTTTTACTCTATTATTTATTTTACGACCAAATAAAAATAAATTTAATTTGGAATAAATACCTTTATCATTTTTACAATTTCCTCTGTTTTTTTTTTTTGTCCCAGTCAACCACGTACCCAACACGGTTGTTTGACAGTGGAACGGAGGAATAATTCAACAGCAAAAGGTTGATCTTTTATGATAGGAGTAATGCGTCCGTTAGTTTACTGTTTATTAAGAATGCAACGCATCTACATTAACAAAATCGATTGCTCAATTTGTATTCTGAATTTCACATCGCTTTGGTCTTATTGGATATCTTTGTCATGTTTGAAATATCAAAAATGGCATATATCTTTATGGGGGAGTTATTTCATGTCACTATGTCATTATGTGGATTGCCATGGTAAATCATGCAAAGCTTTGCTCTCTTTGCTCATTATGGTTAAAAATTTCTTTGCTCATTCTGGTAAAAAATTTCTGACATTTTGAGCTGGTGAAGCATTGATTATTTCCTTTACACATGTTTACCGTGAGGTTAATGAGCGCAGACTGGCTAGCTAAACATGGGAGTTCTTTATCTTTTTTTTATGTTTCTAAGGTTTGGATGTCTACTTTGAAATATGTTGCTCTCGAATCATTACTAATAAAATTATTGACTTTGTCCCAAAAAAAAAAGTATACTAACAATATTTATAGAAAATTATATTTTTAGTATTTATATGACTCCAAAAATTACACATGCCCTCTCTTCACCCCAAAATCAATTCTAAAAAAAATAAAGCTCAATTTACACCCTAATATGGTCAAAATGAGTCCCTCTCCAATAATTAATCTAGATCATGAATTTGTGAATTTTAATATCTAGGCTTTTATGAAATCAAAAATATTTTTTCTTTAATAACATTGTTCATTTAATCATAATCAAGCCATATAAAAAAATTGGAAATGAAAAAAATTCTTCTAAAACCTAGATTTAAGTATTTTACCAATATAAACAGCCTATACTAATTGAGCTAAAACAACACTTTCTAGACTGTGTTTTCAAATTATATCTCTTTTGTGATTTTTCATTGGAATGAAAAGAGTATATATTGAAAATTAGGGTGAAACAAATAGCCCTAACATGATTTTTGAAGATTGTTTCATTATATTACTATACAATTGTTGCATGAAATCACTCCAATCTTTAAAGGACACATATTTGGTGAGTATGCCAACTCATCTCATGTCTCCGTCCTAATTTATGATACAAAAACACGTTCCAATTTTTGTACATCTATTTTTGCCTCAAATCCATCAACTTGGTGCTTAAAAGACAATGCAGATTTGTTGATCTTTGAAGAATTAAAAGAACGGTCCAAAACCTTACACGATGGACTATTTTTAATATTTATAAAGGGAAAAGTTTTTATGCTTTCCCTACTACATAGAAGTTCTATCCTCTCCGTACCATCCAATCGTTCAATTTTGATGAAGAGAGCCACTCATTGTTTGTTCTTAGATCCGACGTCTCAAAGTATTTTATTTTTAGCTTTTTTTAAACAAATTATATGAATATGAAATTTGGTATGTGACATCTTCTCATTGGGGTGCACCTATAAAAAATATTTTAAAATAATTTTTTGATAAATTATAATGACCAAAATACCCTTTAAATCTTTCAGGGGTATTTTGAACATTTTATTTTATTGAAAATATTGTTTTTATCTTTTCGCTAGTGCGAGATTAATAGAAGAATGGACGTCCAAAATTTGGTGTCAAATTAGTTTATAGAGAAAAATTTACAAATAAAATAGTGTAGAACTGTGACATTGTGATTGGAGCAATCTTAGCCCTCCATTCAGAATAGACGGCTGGATAAGGGGAAGAATAGAACTTCTATACTGTAGAGGAAGCATAGAAAGCTTGCCCATTTCTAAATACATGATCGTGGTGCCTTGACAACAGACTTACAAAAATTTTGGATTGAAAATCCATCTTTAAGAATAATTTTTTTTCCAAACCTGTTAAACAAATGTGTAATCGTAAAAAGGAATTGCCAATAGTGTCTACAACAAACTCTAAAACCATTTGACATCAAATGGACTCCTTGGAGATTTATTCCTTTGTTAAGGGGATACAACCAAGTCATCTATCAACTCCGTTCATTTGGTGCTAGATTTGTAGGAGGTTTTCAAATTTGGGATTTATTAGGGTCTTGTCATATTTCAAATTTGTTACTATATGATATCTTGAGGAATCCATATTTTGAGATGGAGATTGTATACGATAAGACCATTTACCTATGTTATAAGCACATCACAAACATCTTTAGTCATTCAATTTTAAATTGGGCAGCTTGAGTGCGTCAAGCATTTTAAAATTTTTTTTTTTGAACTTTGAACCTAGTAAATAACATGCTCACAACCACTCAATTTGAAATTTGCTAGATAAAAGTGATTGTAACCTTTACGTACAAAAAAATAAGTGATCTAAGAAGAGTATACTTTTACTTTGAAAAGAGTAGAGAGGATATAACATGTTCCCAATAATACTGTACAACAACATACAAGAGTGATACTTGTGAAGATCTTTTTGATCTAAAATTTTTGGATTATCTAACCATTGCCATATGATTATTGTCAAGAAAAATGATTCTGATTTTGAGTTCTTAAATATTTCAATCTTGCCCTCCAAAAATTGAATGATTCCTATTCCTATTCAATCTTGGAGTATTTTTTTTTATGCCCTCCAAATTTTTTTTTTTTAAGTTTTAAAATTTATAATTAGAGATGAAAAATATATTTGAAGGTTATCACAAAGATTTTCAGTGTTGAAACCATATTTTTCGACACTATTTGAAAGTGCGCTTTACTTTGATTGTTTAAAGCCTAAGCTCGATACAAACCCCACCCTTTGGTGTAAACATCATCGTACTTTTAGGCCCTGAGACAATCCGATATCAACAACGGATGGCCGAAGAGTGTCATTCCTCGCCTCAAAGCTTTCAGCTCAGTTGTCCAGTTTTTTACATCAGACGGTGTGAAGTGCTATTAGTATCTTGCTTGAAACCAAACGGGTAGTATCGCAAAACTCTTTTAACGGTAACGGTGTGGCATGCTACCGAGTCCACCCGAACCATCTCCGATTCGAAGAACTCTTGGCATATGTACACACAGGGGAAAGACCTCCCTTCACTCTTTACATCTTTTAGAACCCGAAAACCCTCTTCCCCTCTTCTCTTTCGCCTGCCCCCTCCTCTTCCACTTCCATCGTCAATCTTCATCTTCCTCATCTGTTGAATCTTGATGGTTCCGGGCCCCATTTTCCGGTGCCACGATCCTCGCTGACTTGCTTCTCCCAAGTGTTGTGCCTCTCGCGCCCCCGCCTCCTCCCACCACCACATCGTACGAGTCTTGTTCTTTGCGTAAATCTGCAGGAGGAAGGAAACAGTCTCCTGAGAGCCCCCAAATATTGAAATCCACTTCCTCTATACTCCATGTCTCCTCCATCCTAGTCCTGCTGTGCGTGGTGGATGTTTCACCGTACCGCAATAGGGAGACCACAGTTCGACCGGAGTGAGCTATGGCAATGCCATCAATTAGCCTATAGTCGTCGATTAACGATTCCATGCTAGTTTCCCAGTAACTCTCATCACCACTGTTGGCTTTGATTCTTAGCAGGTGGCAGTCTTCGAACTGACAGAGAAGGCCAGTGCGCTGGCTGAAGTAGCCCCACACCGTGTGACGCATTATCTCCACACTACTACTGCTTCTGGATTTGAGGGTGCCAGCGCCCACCTCTAGCTTCAGGATGAAGCAGTCTTCGTTATTTATCATCTTTTCCCCGATGCACACCGCGTTGGAGAAGAGGTTGGCGGCCGACCGCGGGTCGAGGCCCTGTGAGCCACATCAGTGGATTCACCCAACAGAACCATGTTATCTCTATCTTTACTAGAGGAAAGCATACTGGAATATCTGATTATATTTGAATTGACATAAACAATAACTATGTTCTCTGTTTCTGTTATGGGAAAGTATACTGTAGTACTTGTTTGTTAGTAATACTCCACTTGAAATCTGTCGAAGATTTCGATGGACGTTGAGCCAAACAATGATGCCCCCAACCATTGGTAAATATACATGCATGATATAAACAAGTACTGAGTAATGCTATATAGATAAGGGATTGTAGACTGTGAGATTGTTTGGAAGTCATAATTATAGTCAATAGATGTTAAATTGGATAGCTTGGGATATATCACAAAGTTGGAGGGTTTTTTTTTTTTGAGTTCAATGACACATTTACAACTATCCCATTTAAAATTTATCCCATTCCTTGAGGGAATCAATGATCTAGGCCGAGTCAAACAGTTTGCTGATGCTTGCCGTGAACTAGTATGTAGAACTGTATTGGAACAATTCCGATTCAGATTAGGGATTCCCTACATGGATTGATGGGGTTTGAATCACTGCTTTATAGTTTGTTACAATCCAACTTTTTTTTTTTTCTATATTTCTTTTTTTTTTTTTTGCTTCCAATCAATTTAAGTTAGATATGGCCATTGTTTCAAAACTCGACGCTCCGAATTAGGAATTACTGATATGATATAGGAACTAGTTGGGACTGAACCAGTTCTGAAAAGGTATTGGTCTTGGCCTATTCCCCCCCTAAACCCCCTCTTTTATTTTTAATTTTTTCATTTTATTTTTAAGCTTATGTATTATTTTTTTAAGTTCCCCCTAATTCCCCAGTCGATAAATCTCTATTTGATGTTTTATTTTTATTTTTAAATACTTGTTAGATCACCGATTCAAATTGATTCTAATTAATTTGGATCGCCAATCCAACGATTCGAGATGAATATGAGGGGTAAACGATCCACCGCAAGTTTTGAAACACTAGATAAAATAGTTTTTATGTTAATTACCAGTAGATTTAGATGAAGAAAGATGAGTTGAGGGAAAGTTTAGAAAAACAGGGCCGAAGAAGAGTGACTTGCAAGTGAAAATTATGACGCCATAAATTATTGGGGACACTTTCTATGTGACCCCAACAACCTATAAGTTATATGGGATCTCAGTTCTCAGCCATTTGATCTAAAACGAATGGCTACGATTGTTCATACCACAATGGCACGCCAAACATTGGTTTTTTTTTTTTTTTTTTATACAAAAATTTTTTGAATGAAATTTTGGGCATCCCTTCATAAAATTAGGGCGAACCTAGAAAAAATAAAAAATAAATATTTCCCAAAAAATAAACAACCAAAATGGCCCTAAAATTTTGAGGAGTATTCTAATAATTTTTCTTCTTAAAAAATAATTGTTTTTTATTTTCATCATGTGCGCCTTGTTTGATCTAGGCATACGCCAAATTTTGGCTTAAAATGATTTATAGAATAAAAATTAAAAATAAAAAACTCTGAGCCATATGATCAAGATCTAACGGTTAAAAACTAGCTTGTCACATTGTAACTCAAACCATCTCAGCCATATACTCAAATCTGACAGTTGAGATCAAGAGTCACATATAATACATATATGGTTAGACATTTCCCTAAATTATTCCCCGTTATATATAGGGCCACTTGGACCGAATCCTCATCACGTCATGGATTGGGGATCCATAACTTGGATCTTCACGATCTCAAAAGGCAAAAAGGGCGAAGAATTTGGAGCCCATAATATGTTACATTGTTTTATCTGGACCATCCATTTCTATAATTAAAAATCTGATCTGGATGGGAATAGATTTACATATTCTTTTGGAATGGTTTTTTAAGCGGCCAAATGCATCCATCTCATACCTCACTTTGTATGGATCCAAAAGTTTAACAAATTATATAAAAGAAAAAATTTATATAAGGCTGCAACATTGCAACGTGGAGCAATTGATGCACCTTAAAAATCTATGGAAAACGGTTTAAAATTTTATAATTAAATATAAAAATATATTTAAAATAATCCTAAAAATATTTTACACTAAAATTATATACCACGATAAAATTTAAAGGCGCACCTCACCTCAACGGCTACGGATGCAGCATCCGTACGCCAACTACACCCTTCTAGAAATCATCCCACACCAATAGGTTGACAGTTACGGCGGCGAATAGGTCTCACTATCATTAGCTGAATTACATGAGTGTTTGGTGCCACATGTCAATACATGTCGATTTAAATTGAGCTTATTTTATCTTAAATTTATCTCGCGTCCCACTCCCATCATATATGATATTAAAAACATTATATATACTTAAAAATATGGCAAACTTTAGTGCCTCCCCCATGTAAGCTATACATGACCGCTATTCCCCGTCGTTTCATTTAAATGCACAATTAGGATAGCTTCGGTCACAAATTTTTAGTCATAAATTTGTTTATCAGTGTCTACTCTTGTTCATACAGCTCAAAGTGTTTTATATTTATAACTAATTTTGACATAAAATTGCGCATGCTCGCTTCTCTAAAAATAATATTTCAAAACAATAAAGGACCAAATACTACTATAAAGTTACATCGGTCTTCTTATTTTATCTGAAATTTTTTATGTTTTCTGTGCTTAGTAAGAAGTGGGCATACCCCAAATTTAATGTTAAAATCTTTTATAAAAGTTTAAAAATAAATACTGCTAGGTGTGATTTTGTGATTGAAGCTATCTTTACCATCCGTTCAGATCAGATGATTGACAATAGCAATCACATGTGTTTTACACATTGGTATAGTAACATGTAAAATTTTTCTAAAAATATAGTATTTCATTTATAAATAATAATTATATAGACATATCTAATAGTACCAGCATTTTTAAGTCAACGTACTCGACATATTCGATGCTTAAAAACACTGATAGATGCCAGTATTTATAAGGTACAGTTTATACAAGGCCGACGCTCTAAATAATCAAAGTAAAGTGCAACTTCAAATAGTATTGAAAAATATGGTTTCATTATTAGAAATCTTTGTGATAGCCTTAAAATATATTTTTTATCTATAATTATAAGATTTAAAGCATTAAAATTTGTGTACATCGAACAGATCTATAAAAACTTGAAAATATTGGAATTTGACGGTCCAAATATGCATTATAAGACGCACTATTTCCAAAACTTGAAATCTAAATTTTTTCTCATGTCCATGCATCTTAAGGTTGAGATGATCAATTTGAGGATATTTAGGCATAAAAACAACCTGTTCCAGTAAAATTTTTGAGGTGCGCCCTAATTTGATTGTTTAGAGCCTCACTATTATATAACTTTTTTCCATATTTATATAATATTGCATATATCTATCAAAACATATTTTTCCTAGATAGTCTATTCATCTTAGAGTTGGCAAAGGGTAAGCCCGCTATGGCCCTGACATAAAGAACAAAAAGCAAATTAAAGAAATAAGGGGCTTAGCCAAGGCCAAGCTGGCTTGGTTTGGCCCGGCCAACCTAGCTTGGCCCTAGCTGGGCCCGACTCTTGTGCCACCATAGCTCGGTCGTGGCACAACCAAACCCTCAGGCCATGTTTTGTGGTCCAAGTCCTTGTTTTTTTTTTATTTTGGGCAATTCAATGGGAAAGACACACCCCTATCCATTTTTTTAAGTACATTAGTTGTTAGCTTTTTTAAGGTATTAGTCGGGGGAATGAAAACCACAACGATCAGGTCCTCTTGTTTCTAGTATACTTGTTCCTCTACTACATTTTTATACTACATTTTCTATGGAAGCGACTACGCAATATTTATAGGTGGGTGAAAATAAACAGCATTTTTGCCCGCATGTTTGGTTCCGTCCGATTTTTTTGGACGGTGTGAATTAAAAGAATGCAACAGACATAACAAATCTGCGACAATATTTTTTCACGCCATTCAAACACGGACAACAACCACGGCTACCGTAGATCCATGGTCGGGCGAAACATTATTCAATTTTGCTTTTAAGAGTTTTACATTTGGGAAAGCTTTCTATGTTTTCCCACTAACATAGAAGTTCCATCCTCCCCCTACTATCCAGCCGTCCATTTTTTATCAAGAGAGTCACTCACCGTTTGATCTTAAATCTGACGTCTCAAAGTATTTTATTTTTATATTTTTTAATACAAATTTTCTGAATATGAAATTTGGTAGGTGCCATCTTCTCAATGGGGCCCACCTATAAAAAATATTAAGAATGATTTTTTGATAAAATGAATGATCAAAATACCCCTTAAATTTTTTTGAAGTATTTTGATCATTTTATTTTATTAAAAATATTTTTTTTATATTTTTCTTTCGTAACGAGTTTAATAAAGGAAGAGACGTCCAAAATTTGGTGTGGGAAACCATATTGTACGGAAAACATAGAAAGCTACTACACTCAAATTGATCTAACTTGAGAACCCCGAAAAATTCGAGATCCAGTCCTGAAATATTGGACCCGTAGATTTCGGCGAAATTAGTTAGACGAGCCAGGAAAGCACATGACTTTCAAGATAGCTGTACATCTCATGGACGGCTGAGATTGAATCCTATTTTTTCAGGTTCAGTTGTCTGACAGCAAAGAGACGGTTTTTGAAAGCGTCAGAGTAGGAAGATTGGGTTGAAATGCAAGCAACCACCATAAAAACCATAAAAAGCAAAAGAAAAAGTAAAAAAAAGTAAAAAGAAATAAAGACTTAAAAAGAAGGGTAGGGCAAAGCTCATTGCTTTATTGCTTTCATACTAAGCATCGATTTCCAAAAATTTCGTGTTGTATTTTATTGTCTTTAACTTTTTACTTTGTTAATTCATTTTTGAAATATTTGCAACTAAATAAAATTTTAATTGTATCTTAATTTCCTTTTTTTCTTTTTTATATAAACTTTTAGTATTTTAAATTAAAAAGCTTAAAAATAAAAAAATAGAATAGTTGGGAATCCAGCAATTCTTTCTAGTAGGACCGCCCTTGTTGAGTAACTCGCCTCATTTCGCTTTGAACCAAAACAAGTCCCAAAGCTAGACAAAGATTAGCCTATATACCCAAATTTTCCTATCCAAAGCGGTTGTATGATGTGGCAATCATATTTGTATAAGTAAGATTACAATATTTTATACAATTTATTTTAGTTGAACGATATAGATTTATCACGTCTTTGAACGTAATATAAACAAAAAATGTCTTTTAAAATAAAATCAAATCGAAACCATTAAAATAAAAATGAAGTAGATTATTGCAATCTTACTTCTATAAATAAAATTACAACCTTGTATCAATTTTCGAGTTTTAAGTCCTAATGTGGATGCAGTAACTACCAGGGTCTGTCTTCAATAAGAGAACAAAAATGTACCACATAAAGCCATAACTCGTACTGCATTCAACATCATCAATAACTAGTGACATAAGTCGACTAAAGAGAGAGTTGGTTTTAGAGAGAGGAAAAGAGGCACCAAGCCACCAACTCGACTACAAGAGGAGAGAGAATTTAAGGTGAAAATTAGTTAAATTACTTTTTTGACAGGGTCAATATTGTTACTGCTCTACCCATCATCTATAACCGATTCCAACCAAGAAATAGAGAGAAAAAAATAAAACCAAGAGCGAGAGAGAGCAGAGAGAGAAAGGTACCAAACTTGTAGGGAGCTCCTTGTGGTTTAGGTCATCTTTTAAAAACATCACATAATTCTAGACTAAAATCCATTCAAAAGCAAGAAATAGTGAGAGATAAAGTATAACCAAAAACAAATAGGGGTTTAAAACATCGCATAATTCTTGACTAAAGTCTATTCAAAAGCAAGATAGGGGTTTGGTCTTATAGAGAGAGAAGCAGATGGGTAGTAGAGTTTAGTTATCAATATTAGATCGGACCACTCAATTTGATAATTCATATTGTCAGTGCCTTAACAAGTCCGATAGAAGCAAAACAAATTTTCGAGTGAAAATTGGTCAAAATAAGTATCTAACCAACCGGTTTTAGTGGGTTTAACTATCTGAAAGTTTTTTATAATATATTTTTTATTTTCTCATTTTAATTTTATTTTATTAAAATTTAATCTAACCATTTTGACTAGTGGTTAAACCAATTCTAATTGGGCCAGTTTCCTCGTTGATTACGTGGCTAGTCTGATCTCAAATCATTATTGATAACTATGCTTTTGAGAAATCATACGGTAGAGAGCTCGGGGTGGTATTGGGGTACTAGAAAAATCGTACAATTTGTAGAGTAATTTACGTATGGATTTTAAAAAAAAAAAAATTTAAATATAAAATGGCTCTATTTATAGGTGAAAATTACAAAGAAGATCGATTATTATTATTTTTTTTTTATCAAAACTGGTCCTCAGTTTTAAATTTTTTTTTTAAAAAGTTCCTTGTATAGTAGGGCATTGCCCTAAAACTTGGGACACTGGCCTACTAATGAAAAAATCTTAAAAAAAAAGTATATATTTTTAAAATTCTGACCAAAGATTCCATCCACAAAAGGGAGGCCAATTTTTTTTATAATTTCTACCTATAAATAGAGTATTTCGTATTTTAGAAAAAATTTTAACGACGCTACGTAAATCACACTATTTTGGAACGAGAATCAAATAGAAAGCAAAAGAAGGGGGACAAAAGTAAAACCCAGAGAGAGAGAAAGAGAGAGAGAGGTAGCTGGAATATTTAGAGAGAGAGAGAGAGAGAGAGGGAGGGCGGTGTCGCTCGGACATTTAAAGAGATGAGAGTAGTAAAGATATCGTATATTTCCTTTAGAGATATCATAACATTATAATTGATTGAAATCAATAAATTAAGAAAGTAAAAAGCATGAGAGAGAGAGAGAGAGAGTAGTAGAGTGTAGAGAGAGAGAGAGAGAGAGTAGTAGAGTAGTAGTAGTAGAGAGAGAGAGAGAGAGAGAGAGAGAGAGTTGCTCCTCTTTTCAAACGGTCGGAGAGAAAGGACACTCCCTCTCTTTTTGAAACGGTCGAACATCCCTTCTTGGTCATTTAGTTTGTGAAAAAATTAGGGTTTTTCAGGGTTTCTTTTCTCTCAGTTTGTTAACTCTTACAGTTGCCTTCGAGCCATTTGCTCAATTCCTAGGTTTTGAAGGGGTTTGTTTGTGGTACAGAACACTATCTTCTGCAAATTCTAGGCCTATGTTGGAGTCCTTTTTGGGAAACTCTCTTTCTCTTCATTTCCTTGGTTTTGGAAGTGTTGCTGTATACCAGATGACGTACTGGTTTTGGAGGTTTGCAAGGTTTTGAGCATTCTCTGAACTTCTAGGGTTTTTAAAGGGGTTTCCACATTCTCTGAAATCTCTGGTTTGTACGGGAATTTTGCATTCTTTTGAGTTTTAGGGCTTACGGGGCTTTCGTGCAATGATGGAGCTTTCTCCTGAAATAGATAATTACATTAAAGAGACAATTGCCTACTCCTTAGGTCTCCCTGTATCCTCTGAAACCCTAGCTATCAAGCTTCAAGGATCTGAAACTGCAAGGAAAAGGCTTCAATCCGTGGTCTTCTCCTTGCAAGATCTTCTCAGGGAGAAAGATGATAAGATCGAGCATGCTAAGGTTTGTCAACACCCCTTGGTTCTTCCCTCTTAACTCTGATCTTTTTTCTCAGTTTTTTTTTTCTTTTTTGACTTGTTCCCCTTCTTTCTTTCTTTCTTTCTTCATTTGTTTCTCTGTTTCTCTCGTTCTTTTTTTTAGTGTGTTTCTCGCATTATCTCTTCATTTATTTCTTTTTTTCTTTCTTATCTTTCTTCTTGATGATTTGGGATATGGGTTTTCAGGCTGAGGCTACTATGAATGCTCAAGCTGTGAGGAGGCAAATCGAGGAGAATCAGAAATTGGTTGCAGATTGTATGGAACTCTCAAACCAGTGTGCAAGGTTAGAGAATGAGTGTGCACTTTATTATCGGGACCGAGAGCAATTGGTGGATTATAGTGATGAGAGGATCAAAGAGGCCGAGAGTCGCGCCCAAGGCGCAGAAGATCAAGCAAGGAAACTCTCTGATCAGATCAATCAATTAAGGAAACTCACTGTACGTTTCAGTTCTGTCTTTTCTCGCTTGTAAAGTCTATTTTATCTCTTGATTTCTTTATCTTTCTTGAAAGATGGAATTCTTGATTTTGGGTTTTTTAATGCAGGATGATAAAAACAGGATGAGTTCAGAATTGGAGTTTCTGAGGAGAAGGGTCCATGAACTCGAAGGCCAAAATAGGTGTACATCTACTTTTGTAATCGTTGTTATTTCTGATTTTTCATTTTCCTTTTCTCGAGATATTTAGACATTGGGTGTTTGTATGGATTCTTATCCCATATGCATTGTTTTAATCTTTATTTTTTTGTGTTATTGATGGTTGTGCTGCACAAGTAGAGGGCAGGGTCAGTTGGAACGACGAGGAGAGAATCTTGGCTGTAGTCGATTCCCTCGATTGGAGGTGGAGAATGAAGAATTAAAATCACACATACAAGCAACAAGCTCAGTAAGTATTGATTTAAATTTCTATTGATATTTGATGGAATTCTCCAATATTTTGTTGTTTACATTTCAATATTTGAAATCCCCCATGCTGGAGCATAAAGAGTTACTTATAAATGGATTCTTTGATAACTCCAGCATAGATCTTGTTTGAGCCCACTCTTGAGGAATGCATAATATTGTGTTGGATACTCTTGTTCCTCAAACCGTAACGTGATCATGGAACTTCTTATCTTGTTGCTTGCTGGAATGACAATGAAATGGGGATGATTTGAGTTGCTTAATTTCCTGCTGCATACTTATTTCAAATTTGCACACAAGTGATGGCTACTATTTGTAGGCGTTGGGCAAGATTCTATGCTTATTCTAGACCATTTACGATAAATAGGTATCGCAACACCTGAGTCTGTCAGAATCGCTGGTTCGGAACTTATTTAAGAAATAAAAGGGGAGCTGAAATCCGACCCCCCTTTCCCCTTATTTGTCTTATACCTCTTGTAGTATCAACCACAAATTTCATGCATGGGGTCTTTCTTGCATTGAATAGATCAGATTTGAGAGAAAAAAAAAATCTAGTTCTATGAATTTGAGAGATCACAATTATTTGAACTGGGATTTGGCTAAAGTTCGTATTCTTGTGGTTTCTTTGCAACCTTTGCTTGATCTTGGTTGATATTTGTCGCTTAAGCCTATTTTTTGAGTTACTTTATCAATCATAGGTTTCTTTCAAAGAACCATAGAAAGTCACAGATTCGCAAGATTTGAAAATTGATGTTCACTCGAAAATTTCAAGTGCTCAGATTAATTAGACGCGAACTCGAATCCCAAATCTGGATTTTTCCTATTTTGATTAAAATTGAAATACTATTGCGTATATGCCTTGGCCTTGATATTTTTCTTATTTTTAATTTTTCCTCCTTTTTTTTTTTATGTTCTTTATGATTTCCCTGATAATTTTTAGGCCAACTTGGCCACCTGGTGGAAACTTGGCAAGTCACTTGGGACTTGTGACATGCCACGCTGACTCACCCCTGGCTCATGCCAAGTTCATAAGCGAGTTCGAGTATTCATAGTGATGCATTTTGTCACATGTATGTGAATCTTCTTCATTTATATTTTAAGGGAAATTTACCGAAGAGCACCAAGAGATGAACTGTTTAACTTCTCACCCATATCTTTTGTTTTAAGTTCAAAGAGCCTATCAAATGACACATAACCACGAGTTAGAAAAATAATTAAAAAGCACCTAAGAGATGAACTATTTAACATCTCATCCATTTCTTTTGATTTAGTTTTAAAAAGCCCATCAAGGACATATAATCATGACTTTGAAAATTGATAAGTGAGGTGTGGTTTGTCAATTGGGTGAAATGTTAAATAGTCAGTATTTTTGGAGTGGTTTGATAAATTTTGCTTTCAATTATTGCTCCAGGAATTTCTAGACAATCCCAAGAAGTTATTGTCCCAATGACTATCCTTGTGTCGAACGTGCTTCCAAGGCTACCCTTTTACTAAATTCAGCTTTAGTGTCATGTTTTTGAATTAATTTTCAGCAGGAACTTTAGTGCATGCTTGTTGATGGGCATTGAGGCAGTTGTAGACAACTTGTAGGGGATAGTGAAGAAATCTTAATTCTAATTTGTAGAAAGACATCAAGAGATGGAGTGTAGATGTTCTAGTAACGATTTGAACTGTGGTGCTAGAACTTGCTTAGTAAACTAGCAACTTACCTGAGTTGACTTCAGGTAATCAAATGGCAAGTGGTGTTTGCCACTAATTGTCTTATTTACTGACATACTGAGTTAACTGTCTTGATTTAGTTGAATCCTTGAAGGTTGCTTACATCCTAATGTATGGGATCATAGACTAGTATAGCTTTATTAGAGGGGGTTCTTAACGACTTTATGAAATTGTTTGTTTGCTATTGGCGATTCTCTAAGTTATCCGTACTGCTCCTCATCCATTTGCAATGAAAAACCTTGCCTTCCTATCTTAATTTCTTTCCCCTTGTCAATTAGCACATACCAATAATCATGTTGGCAGCCTCAAGCAACCTTGAAGAACAATACCTCCTCACACAACCTGGCAAAACAGCACCTTTAATCATCATGGATATTTTGACAAGGTTGTCTAGGGGATTCTTTTGAGCTTTGAGGGTTCCCCACCTTATGAATCATTTGCTTGTGTCCTACGTGGGCTATTCTGAATGTACATGGAGAAATTATATCTTGATGTAACTAAATCCAAGTTTGGATAATTATGAATCTTGTTGCCCTTAAAAGACAATTAGATTTTTTACTATGTGGGGTAACATGACTTTCTTGAAATCAATTGCTTGCCTCTCTCATGATTTCATGTGGTTTAGTCATCATGGTATCAGGTTCTATGTGTGTGAGCCTTATGCTCCTTGTGGCCCCTTTTGTTATTGTTTCATTCAAAACAAGTATATCGTAGGCATGATATGTTTCTTAACCACTAAGTAGGAGGAAGGCAAATAAATTTGTTGGTTTTTCCCATTATTGATATCATTCGTTATCTTTTGAGGGGAATTTGATCAAGGAGCACCCCTTGATATTTTCATCAACAATTTGAACTTCACTCAATTGTGCCTAACAATCGAACCATTTCCAGCGACTTTCAGGAATTTCATTCAAAGTTGATACCACTGAAGCAAGTTTTTCTATATAATCACCCCACAGGATACAAAGGATTCCCTATATTATCACGAAATCACGATCACCATCACCATCACCATCATACGTACAATAGCATTTAAAATAAGATGGTTTCACTTGGAAAAGATGCCAATTATGGTTGTGGAAGTGAAATCTCTAGGAATCAAAGCTTTTGATGCTCTGAAGTCATCCTAAATGTTGCAATATATTGGATATATATCATCATTGAAATAACCTTTTTAGATATAATCATTCCCACCATAGGATATGAAGAAATCCCAACGCTCATCATGAAATCTTGCATTGTTAAGAAAAACGACCTGTTCAGCACCTAAGTGGTGGCCCACCCCTTGCCTAGGTGGAAATTGCTCTTAGGCAAAGGAAATTCCCGCCATTTTCTCCTTTTTATATATATATAGGGTGCGGTTTATATAAGGTTGCAACCTTAAACAATCCAATTAAGATTCACCTCCACATTTTATCATAACATGTAATTTTGTTGTAAAAGTTTTTTAGGATTATCTTAAAAACTATTTTCATATCTAATTAGAAAATTTTAAACTCCAAAAATGGTTAAAATCAAGTAGATCTATAAACATATGAAAATCTTTAAAATGGACGGTCTAGATAATGTGATGCAAGATGCACTATTTTTGGGAGGGACTCAAATTTTTTTTTTTTAAATATTCATACATCTCGATGTTGAGATGATCAATTGGAGGGTTTTTCAACATTAAAACAGCCTTTCTGATAG